TGTGTGGGGGGGGAAATTCGTCTACTGTTAATCACCTCTGCCACACTGGATTCCCTCACATGCCCTGTTCTGCTGGCCAACACTCTGATCCTAATAGATACCATCCCATTCCCCCCCCCCCCCCCCCCCCCCCCATCTCTGTTTTCTTGTGACTCATCAGACCCATATTCATACACATCTTTCAGTCCCTGGTATATCCTCTCTGGCCTCTTTCATCTCTGATTACAAACCTCCAGTTCTGACTCCTTTCCCATTTCACCACAAAAACATGCAAGTCTGGTTGGCAAGCCTGGTTTCTCCAGGCAAACAGACTGAATAGCAAACAGGTCACTCTGTTTACAAATTCTGGTCCAAGTAAGTGCCAAAAGACAGGCTCAGTCAAGGCTTCACTGCAAAAAAGAGGGGAAAATAGTCTGAACAGTCTTTTTAGTATTATATAGCTTTAGAAATTAAAATGTTTCCAGAATAGTAGTATTTTCTGAGCCAGTGATACAGAAGCTGTGGTGAGCTTAGAGTAGCATTCACAGCAGAAAGTGTTAAGGACAGGGAGGGTCTCTCCTGGAGCACATAGTTCTCAGCTTAGCTAAATCTGAAACAACCAACTTCATTGTTTAGAAAGATGTATGTACCTTCCCTTGCTTTCACCAGAAAGAAGCAATCTGCTGTGGGCATTGATGGTTTACCTACTCATAAAGATATGCTGAGGACAAATCATGGGTCATTCCTACACCAGGCTAGCCAACCTTCCAAGCAGTGCCTCTCCATCTTTCCATGAAGTTGAACTGGGAGTTTGACAAATTTTCCTGAGCACCCTCACAACTACCAGCTTTCTTCAAGGCTATGAGGTCCCTAAAGACCTTTCCTAGTTCTTCTCCTATGTTTCAGGCTGCTGTGAGAGGGAACGGTCTATGTTCTTCAGGTGCATTCTGCCATTCAACCCAAGCTAAAACCCAAGGTTCACTGCTCCCCTAGAGGCATTTCCTGCACAGTCCCTGCAGTTTTAGTGCTAGGCTGCTGTAACCACAACAGAAAACCAGGAAGCAGTAACAACACTCACTTCACAGCACTACATTGGCCTGCCCAAACTGCAGCCTTTTCCAGCTACATGTTCAGCAGGCATTTTGTGCTTACTTCAGCCAGGACACAGAAGATGAAGAAGAGGAAATACACCTGAAGAACATAAGACTGTTCCTTCTTAGAGCAGCTGCCTGCTATTCACTGCCTTGAATGCAGTGGCTGAGCCACTGCTTATTCTGTCTCTGAATTGCAAATATTAAGGTCAAAGGCTTAGGTTTATTTCTGACTTCATCTGCCTTGCGACTTTCCATCAAGACTCTCTGCGTAAAGAGATCACGTGTGTGATAATCATTCACACACTCAGTTTTGTGTCAGTGTTCAGTTCTCTCCTCTCTCAGAGGAAATTCTTCCTCTAAGTCATGCCTCTGATACATTCTGATGATCTCTGATCAGCACAGAAGGCCCTTGTTCTCTCTGTTTGGGATCTTGGAGCAGAAAATTTTTCTGCTACACTTTTCTGTCCCAATGGCTACCCAATTACTACTTCCTGAACTTGCCTGTCTGCTGTCTCCAAACTTCACAACTCTCCTCTGTGATCCCTAAACCTACAGATGGTTAGAACAGTTCTCATTGACGCACACCAGTGATATAAGCTCTCTGTTGACACGAGCCTGCTGTGCTGCAATCCCTGCCTGTCTTGACTTGTTACTTATGGTCCACTCTTGACTCATCAGTTTTTTTGATACAGTCCTTTGCTTCATGCAATTGGCAAAGTAAGGCAGTTTGCTCTGCCAGCTCACAGGAATAGTATCCTTGAGACCTGAAAGGAAACTTAGAACTGGAATTTGCTGTCCTGATTTTGTTTGGGTTCTCTATTTTGCAACTGCATAGTCCAGAGGCACAAACTGCAGCCACCTGGGTACACAGGTGTCCTAGGCATCACAGGGAGCCCTTTCAGAATTGCCTGCAGGTGTGACTCCAGGAGTTCTGTGGGATGCGCTTGGTGTTGCCTGTGGCAGTAGGTGTGTCCTGGGATGGCATTCCCATGCTGGGACTTGTCTCCATGAATATCCTGGACTCATCTGTCACTGCAACCCCAGGGTGAGTGTGGCCTTCCCTGTCCCCTGCACTGTGCCAGAAGGGACTACAGGCAGCTCAAACACCAGGTTACGCTGGCCCCATTCTGAGAACAGGGTGGGGCCTGGCAGTGTGATTCGGTCCTGTGTGCAGGGGAGCACTGCAGCTGCTGTGTCAGACTGCACAGTCCTGCATGAGGTAATCAGTGGGTCCCTTAATGTTATTTATGTTTCTAAACCAGAACTGAAACCATCACATTGTAAGGGTTCATGCTAGCTCGGTTCAAGGACAGATGAAGTGACTAGTCTGTAGGTACCTACACGTGAAAAGGTCTGTGCTTTAATTGAATGGATAACAGGGCAGATAACAGACCTAGTGCCTGACAGGTGAAGCAGCTTATCCTCTCCAGAAGCAAGGCATTAGCAGACAAAACTCCTCCCTGCACAGGTGGGCAGGGAGTGGAGGGTGCTGCCCCATGTGTGCCCTTTGAGTGTAGACTGGTGGACCATCTGCAGCCCATGGCACAAACTAGTCAGCATAATCCAATCTGTTCTGTTCAAAGGGAGAGGAGACAGGAGGAAAATACCTACAGCCAACTACAGCAGTGGAGGAAAAGACCCTTCAAAAAGTTCTACAGTATGTGGTTCCCTAGTACTCTTCTCTCTTGCTTGCTCACTCCCCTGCTAATCCAGAAAAAAAGCAGAAGCAAGAGGGGTCTCTGTGCCTCTCCCTCACCAGCCCTCCTAACTGCACCTAAACTGAAGCCAGTCCACTTGTGCAAGCACCCCAGTGCTGAACAGGAGTGTTTGCTGTTTTGATCCCTAGATTTCTCCTAGCAACACCAATCTCCCCCAAGGTCCCACCGTGCACCATGAGAGATGGGACACGGCCAATCCCATCTTAGCTGATGGCTCTGTCACTGCACACAGAAACCAGGTGAAGAAAGCATGCTGTTCAGGCAAGTCCATACCTGCTTCAGTAGCAGTCAAGATATAGGAGTGGCCACAGAGAGCAAGAAAAGGAACAAGGCCTCACACCCAGCTTGCACTTCTTACCTCAGAGGCTGTGTTTGTATTCCTCATGTCCAAAGGTGACACAGAGATATGAAGCATATTGGACACACATTGCTGCCTACAAATAGGCTGAAACCAGGCTGTGAAGCTTTCCTATCTTCCCAAGGGAAGCAAAATGACTGTCTCACACAGAAGCTAATTTACTTGTTAAGAGATTCAGTGTTCATACCGAATTTGCAATGAGATCCATGCCAGAGGTTCCAGGATGTGATTGTAACACAGAAAGATAACTATCAATAGTAGCAAATCAGCGAGAAAAGGATGAGCCCATTCTCTCAAATTCATCTGCCTAAACCTGCTAACTCTCCACTCAGTTTTTTCCTGATTGCAAGTGCTAAGAAACACCATAGCTCTTCCCTTTCAATTACATTGGAGAAATCAAAGGTCACAGTCTTCTGCCTTTTCAGTGTGTGATTAAACGTGTCAGGCTGTTTCCTTTCTGCCAATTAACACTCCTGGAGCTCAGGAGTGTTATAAATATATAAATACCTGTGTCCCTCGGCAGGACACAGGTATTTAATAGCATACAAACATATATACTCTGTGATTTACAGAACACCTTCCTTCTGGCCCTGTGTAGTGTTTGGTCACCCAAACTGTACTGAGGTTGCTAACACCCACCCCCAAACTAAACACAGCGTTTAATTTACCTGGCCTCTGAATGAAGTATGCATCTCCAAATCCTCTCAGAAAACACATTTGTACACAACTCTAGGATGGTTTTTAAACACAGCCATAGGCAACGCAAACAGATGGGCAGCTTCAGCTGTCGGGGGCGATACAGCTCAGTAGGGTGGCTAGGCTCACGCCAGACTTCAGCCCAAATATAAATCCTAAAGGATTAAGCTCGGCCCGGGGAGTGTCTGCAGGGGTCCTTGCCCGGGCCTTCACTATCCTGGCGGATTCCTGAGTTGCTCGGAAGGGCATTACAATTAACTACGTCTGACCCCCTACAGGCTACGTGGAGCTGTCACCCGGGGCTCTCCGTCGGGTGACTTTACCAGGGCACAGCATGAGGCGTCCCGGGGCAGCCCCCCAGGTCTCGGGGGAACCGCTTCGCTCATCAGCTCCCTCAGCACCGAGCAGCGAGGGGCTCCCCGGCCGCCTCACCCCATTATGGCCCTCTCCGCGCTCCAGTCGTGGGAACAGGGCCGAGGGCAGTGCCGAGGGCTGCCCGGCGGGGACGGGCACGGCAGCAGCACCGGCCCGCGCCGCGCTGCCCCGTACACGAGCGGGAAAGAGCCTACGGGCGCTCCGGGTCCCTCTCGGAAGAGGGGCAGCGCAGCCGCAAGTAGCCAGAACCCCCTGTCGCCGGCTCTGCCCGGCCCAGTCGCCCCCAGAGCCACGACCCCCGGCCGCCCCTTCCCCGCTCCGCGCCCGCCCACAGCTCGCCGCCTCAGGCCCAACCCACCCTTCCCCTCCGCCATTGGACGAACCCGGCTGCTCGCGGGAGCCCCTCCCTCCACCTCGCGCTGTGATTGGCTAGCTCATCCCCCTCACTTCGTTCCCTGTCCTATCTCTGCCAAGCGATTGGACAGCGTTCACCCCTGACTCCGCCTCCCCCGGAGCGTTCCGCTCTGCGATTGGACAAGCCCCTGCTTTCGCCCCGCCTCCCTCCCACCCGGCCGCCGTACGGGGCTCCCATTGGCCGGCCGTCGCCTGTCCCGCGCCCGCGCCGGCGCGCCCCGGCGGGGCCCGTCCCCACGCGTGACGTTCGCGCGGGCCATTGGGGGGGAGCGACGGCGGCGCTTCCGGCGCGCGGGGCGGGCGGGGCCGGCGGAGCGGGCGCGGCGGGGCCGGCGCGATGGAGCGGCCCGAGCGGCCCGAGCGGCCCCGCGCCAACGGCTGCGGCGGCGGCGGCTCCCACGGCGCGCTCCGTAACGGCTTCGTGCGCGGCCCGCACGGAGCGCAGGTGTGCCCGGGGGGCAGGGCACCGGGCGGGGGGGCGGCGGGACCGGGGAAGCCACCGGGGTGTGGCTGTGGGTGCGAGGGACGTCGGTAGAACTGGGCTGTCTGTGGCCCCGGCCTTCACCTGGGGAGGCGGGAAGGCAGTGCCCGGGGTGCTCGCTCGCCAGACTGGTAATGGATGTGAAACGGGTGGCTCTCGAGTCACGGTTGCAACTTTGCTGCGAGGCTTTGGTTGGCGGCAGAGCTGTGAACGTAAACCTCGCTACAACACATTAGGTCTGTACTTTAGAAGAGAAGGGTTTAGCAGTTCTTCGCCGTTCTGTGGTTCCTGGTTCGATGCACAGGGCTGTGGGTACAAGTAGCCCTGAGGAGGGACTTCCCTGTACAGCAGAGTTGGAGGTTGATGCAGCACTTCCCGTCCGGCTGTGTGGACACTGGGATGCGAATGTGTATTTGTGCTTTCAGGCTGCCAGTTGTTTCTCTGCAAAGCACTCAAGTTTTGTGTTCTAGTGTAAGGAACTTAACAGTTCTTATGGAGTCAGTACCAGAAGTATGTAATAGACTGTTTCCTTGGATGCTTCTTGAGAAGAGCCTTCCTCCATTGTCATCCCTCCTGTTGCTTCTGTTTTTCAGTCCTTCTGCTTTTCCAGTGTAGGCTTGTGCATTCACTGCATGAACCAGATTGAGAACTGTTGCCGGGTAAAACTAAAGTTTTTCTCCCCTGAGTTATCTTTAACTCAGGGTGGTTACTGTGCTTCTGTCACTGTATGGATGCTCATAGTCTTGCCCTGGTCCTTGGGAGGTGATAGCACAGTATTGGGAGTGAACAAATGGAGGAGGAGGGTAGGACACCTTGGCGTGGCAGCAGTGTCAGATTGTGGGGAGCTATGGCACTGGTAGTCTTTCCTTGCACACACCAAGCACTGCCGGCTGTGAAACCTTAGATGTAAATCTTTGAGCTAAGACCAAGCTTGGTGATGATGAGTGTTCTTTTCTGGGTGCTTCCCCACATTATGCTTTCTAAAGAAGAAGGTCCAAATACAGTTATGTTCTTCTACTTCAGAAGAACAGAAAAGTGGAGTAAGGAAACCTTTTCCTCAAGGATTTTGTTCAGCTGTGTATCTGGAGAACATGGGAGATCCAGCATTTCAATGGAAAAACTATAGATGTCAAATGAGGAAAAACCTTGCTGTTTTATGAGATGTTCTATTCAGTTTGTAGCTTGTGTGTGATACTATGCTCAGACATGTTTTTTGGAGGCCTGAGGTATTTGGGATAACTGTTTATAAAGGGGGAGAGTGTTCATTGGAGAAGTGATCACAAGAAATCTTACCAAAAAGCCAGAATATAGTGGCATTGTCAGAGGATGTAAGAAGAGTACAGGTAAATTTGATATCTTTACGGCAACTGCTTGCTAGTCAAGCAGAGATTTATAATTAAGAGTCTTACATTCTTTTCTCTATAACTTTATGTGGGCCAGATTGCTAACTTTCAAAATGAGGGTCTAAATGTTAGAACAGGACTGGAAGAAGTGACTGTTTAGGGAAACTAACCATGTACAGCTTTCTCAAATAGCATCAATAGTGGTAAGCTGCCAAAAGATTTGGTTGATGGTGCGTTACAGATTTGGGTACCTAATTGGTCTTTTACCTTTTGAATTTTGGCTGTTGGGTCTTTACACAGGAGAAGGGAAACATGTTAATGCTTACTTGTATTGAATATATTTGTCTGTTTATGTATATACTATGTACATACCACATGTAGCACTTGAGAATCTGCAACTGAGGAGGTCTGTGGAATGGATAGTAATCAATTACCAAAAAGGAGGCAGCTTACACTCAAGAGTGCAATTCCTACTTAGTAGGAAAAAAACCAAACAACAAAAAAAGTGGAAAAGAATGGTGCTTTTGCAAGAAAGCCTATGATGGGGTTCATTGCTGCCTAAGACTGTGCAGTAACTGACTTAGGCTACCTTGGAGATTAATGAAATATTATCAATTACTAGGAAAGTGACTATTTGAAGTTAGGAATTCAGCATGTTAAAAAACATTCTGTTGAAATACTAAGATGAATAATAGTTCTTTCCTTTCTCGGGAAGCCTTATGTTCAACTTACTTTGGTCCTGCTTCAAGTTAATTTTTTTAGAGATTCAAATTCAGTGAACGCAACAATCTCATTATGAACACCTTAATTAAAAGAGGTTCAAGAATGATATAGCAGTTAAAAACTGTGGAAGATGCAGAAAAGTGACTTATTTCTAACTGTACAGTTAAAGGAGCTCATGGTTAGAAAGAATAGTAATCTATGGATGGTCTTAAAACTGATTTAAAGCTTTGGTGTAATGCTGCACTATGTAAGATGAAAACCTGACATCTCAAAGGGTATTGTTATGATGTGAGGAAATGAACACAGGCAAGAGAAAGTATGCAAATCTAAGTAAAAGAACAGTGAAGTTACCTCTTCAAGTTGTACGTGATCTGCTTTCTATATCTGTGTGTTCTGTTGCAGAGAGTATTAAGCAAGTTCAATAGAAAAATGGTGTTTAGGATCTATCAAGACACTTGAGGGAATAATAAAAAGTGCAGGGAAATTGCTTCTTTCTGCAATGCAATTTTAAACTGGAATGTATTTCTCCATTGGAGTATTTTGCAAGTGACTAATGGTTTTCTAAAGCTGCATCTGAAAAGAATTTTCTTGCTTAAAATAGGGAGATTGGGACTTATTTAGTGGGAGAAGATGCCCTTTTTTTCCATGATAACTTATTAGAATCTACCTATTATTGTGAACAGATTTTTAGTAGTGTTGTATTTTCCACTCCTTAATTGAGTTTCTCACCTTAGAATGGTTGTGTTATGCTTCTAGAAGTTGAAGAAATAATCTCAAACAAAAAAAAACCCACAACTTTGAATATAGGTTTGAGATATCAAGTTCCTAATTTCTGTTGTGCCTGGTATCTCCAAGTCAGTTAGATAGGAGCTGGCATTATATAAGCAAATTTTAATTTCCCTGATGTTTCTAGAAGGTCATCAAATGCCTATAGCAACCTCCAGATAGCTTATTGCATAGATGCCTCTGTAAAGAAGGTACTACTTCCTCAGGAAGACAAGAAATAGTTTGGTTGAGTAGAGTGGGAGGACTGAGGGATTTGCATTCCTTTAAAACTGTCAAAAGTCCTGAATTCTAACAGCTATTAAAATGGGCAGCACATATATTTTTATTTTCTGAAAGCCTTGGTGTGTACATGCAGAAAATAGTTTGTGTAGTCTTGTGATTTGTGCTTGCTCTTCCTAGAGAGAGCAATCATATTGATTGTAGGTTCATCTCCTGGGGTGCTTCAGAATGCAGGGGAGCCTGATCTTAAATGGACCTTCATTCAGGATGCTGAATGGCTTCATCTTGATTTTTTTGTACATGTTTTTGCTGGAATTCAGGTTAGTGTAACTTCTTTGGGAGAGCACACGTAAAAAGATGACTACAGGATATACTGGAAGTTTTTCTTGCTACAGTAAGTTGGTGGTAGCAGTGATGTGAATATGCCCTTGTTTCAGACGAAAATTAGGATAAGATAAAGATGTTAAATGACTGCTCTGTCCACTGGTATAAAAAAGAATTTTAGTGCAGAATTGTGGGGGTTTTTTTCATATCTGCATGCAAATTTAAATGCAAATATTTCTGATGAAAAATAATGATCCTGAAGAACTAAATCTCATGAAGAAGTGATTGTTCCCCCTTACTCAGCATTTGTGAGACTGCATCTTGTGAACTGTGTCCAGTTTTGAGCTTCCCAGGAAGATGCTGACATAGCCACATCAATCTGTGAATCCAGTGAAGGGTCCCCAAGAAACAGAGAGGCTGAGAGAGCTGGGTTTGCTCAGCCTTAGGAGGAGAGAAAGCTCAACTAGCTGGCTGCAGGATATAGAGAAGATGGGGCCAGACTCCTGGAAGTGTGTGGCAATAGAATGAGAGGCAATGGATATAATTTGGAAGAATAGGAAATTTTGATTACATAATTTTCCCCATGAGGGTGGTAAAATACTGCAAGAAGTTGCCCAGAGAGGTTCGAACTCCATAAAGGAGTTCAAGACTATGTTGGACATGGCCCGTGGCAGCCTGTTGTAATTAGGCCTGCTTTGAGCTGCGGCTTGGTCATGTTGGCCACTGGAAGTCCCTTCCAACCTTGCTTATAGAGATAAATGCATGGATTGCAGGGGAGTGTCAAGGTTTAGACATTTGCATTTAATCCTTGAACCCCTGTAAAAATGTGTGCCTTTAGGCTTGTAGCACGTACTGAGGCTTGCATCAGACCTGAGGAAAGAAATTACTACTTTCTGTCTCTTGCATGGTTTTATGATTGACTGCATGTATTGTGTCAGTAACCTAAAACTGAAGGGAGTAGAAAATTGGCTGACCTAGAAAAGACTGCAACCTCGTTCAGATGTTTTAATTGACAGAACTCTTATTTCTGAAAGAGTGTACCTGTGCACAAGGATCTTTTTCTAATACCAAATTCAGTTGTAAAAGACTGTAAGCCTTTGTGGAAGGAATAGCCACTCAGCATTTTCCCTGGCTAAATGAGTATTTGAGCTGATCATAATAAATTAGTAGATGTAGTGCCAGTGTTGCACTTGTTGAGAATTTGTGTATCTGTGCTGGTAGGAAAACAAACGCCCATGGTAGCTGCTGATGTGACAGGCTTCTCTTAGATTTGAATATGTGCTACTGAGAAGCTCATTTGGGTGAAATGTTAAAATGTATTTATTATATTGGGATTGTCATTCCAAATTTAGCTGGTGATAAGCCTTAAATGCTGTAAGAAATTGTTATAAATGCAGGTTCATTTTTTCTTAAACTGTATCTACTTGAATGATATGTCACTTTGCTCTCTTAATTATACAGCAGAAACATTGTTTTTCTAAATGTCATGTTTTCAATTTGTTGCGGAGGGAAAAAAAGCTTTATCTGAATTATCTATTGCCTTCAGTTTCTTGAGGTGGAACATAAAAC